AAAAAGAGGACCTCAGTATGACATACAGAGAAGTCCTTTCCCTAAAACTGACACCATGAATTTGGACTTCTAGCCTTCTAAACTATTGGTGTTTGTTGTGTACCATTGAGTCAGAACCAACTCATAAGCTGACCCTCCAGCAGGTTTTCAGAGGCAGTAAATCACATGGGAAGCGTTTCCTAGCTTTCTTTCTCTCACAGAGCAGTTAGTGGATCTGAACCATGCTCTTTGGGGTTTTAAGCGCAAGTCCTTACCACTAAACCACCAGAGCTTCCCAGCTCCATAAGAGAAGAAGGTTGTTAAAGCCATCAAATTGTGGTACCTTTGCTATAGTAGCACTAGATAACTAAGGGCTCATATTTAATATTTAATAACAACTCCACAGTTTAAAGTTTTCACTGTCAACATCTTGATTTATTTACTTTGAGTGCCCTTTCTATGCATAGACATATTACATAGATGTCTTAGCAGCATAAAGGTTAAAGACTAGGCAAATTGAGAGGTTGGTGATTAGAATACCCCCAGGTACTTCACAAGATAAAGAAAGACCTAGAGATCTACTCTTCTAAAGATTTTAGTCTAGAAAACCCTCTTCACAATTGCACAGGATTGCTGTGAATCAAAATTGACTTGACAGTATCTAACAACCTACTGCATAATTTACTGCATAATTAAGCTCTCCCCCCGCCCCAGCATTAACTTTTTAATGTTATTTGAGTGAAGGTTGACAGGGGGGAAAAAGGACTTCTATCCAACAAGTCACACACTTTTTGTTTTATGACAGTAATTACAGTCCACTCACTGTAACTGCACTTTCTATCTTCCTCCCTTTGTGTCTCCTTTCCGTTCATCCTGTGTTCTAATCTTTTTCTACCTTCTGAACTCCAGCCTTCAGCAAATGCCACCTTTTGATCTTGTATGGTTGGCTTTTCTAATGAGTGTATTCCTTCCTGGTGTTATAGATGCCATTATAGGATTGTCTATGGTTTGTCATTAAATTGAGTCATGGGAGTGATTTCTGTTTCAGACTTGAAAGGTGACTGAGAGCCCTAGTCTTAGGGGTTCCACCAGTCTCTATCAGATCAGTAATCTTGGCCTTTTTTATTATTATTATTTTGAGTTGTGTTCCACATTTTCCTCCCACATTGTCTATTGTGATCTCTCTCTTTCAGAGTGATCAGTCATTGTGGTTGGGCAGCATCTAGTTCTTGTGGTCTCAGGGTCATAGAGACTTCAGTTTACATGGCCTTTAGTCCTTTGTATTCACCTAACAGTATAATGTTAACATATAGGCAAAACATTAGAATTTCCTAAAAAAATTATGATAGTATCTTGTCTGAAACTATATTATTTTGATATATTTTCTTCTTATTTTAGCTTTTTCTTCCTATTGCTCTAAAGTGTATCTTTATTATCTTTTGTAAATTTTCATCATATATATCTTTGTACGTAAATCTTTGTGGACCTCTCGATTTCTTTTGGAATAAGTTTGTAAGAACATATTTATTGCCCCAATAAACTTTCTCCTACTATCCCTTCATAGTCACCCTCTCACAATAAATAAACCTAGAGAATTGTGTAGTATTTAATTCCATGGTTTTGTCATTATCACTTTTCATACTTTGCAGAGATTTACAATGATCTAAGCTAAAATAACCCAGATATTAAGGAGAAGTTCCCCAATCAGGTAATAGTAGCAACCAAGCCTAGTCATCAGAGTGAATAGATCCAGTAAGGCTCCCTCTCTTATTGGTGCCTGAAAGACTATTACGTCTGCAAGACATGCCAAAGTTCAATAACTGCTGGATGACTGTCTATCTGGTGTGACTTGGAGTTGAGTCTGATTTGAATGACACAATGTAGACACTTATTCCTAGGCCAAGATAACATCTTGCTTTAATGGAACAGATGAAGATGAGGACTGGAGAAAGACGGGGTTATCTGCCCACTCAGAGACATAAATGCACCTGGTTGAGGGGAGATAAGGGCATAGTCCAGGCTCTTGAGCAAGAGGAACTCACAAGAAGACATCTAGACATCAGAACTTTGTTAATTAGGCAGGTGACAGGTAAGCCTCGCCTTCTAGGGAGGACCAACTAGATATCAGGCAGATCAGTGACTCCGACCACAGTGGGGGAGAAGGAGCCTTCTAAAGGAAACATGTGGCTCAAAGGTTATTTATATGTGTTAGAATCACCTGGAGGATTTAACACAGGGTACTGGAATGGAGAATGACATTTTCTAATAAGTTTCCAAGGTCTCTGCTGCTGCCTCTCCTCTAGGAACCATCTTATGAGAACAACTGCTCTAAGGCAGGAAATATTGAGGTGAGACTAACAATCACCCCCACATCACGCAGTACTGGTGGGGTAGAAGAAGTCCCTAGATGCATTGCAGGGTTAGGTAGGGCTAATATGGAAGCTTAATTTGGTGTTCCTAAGAGGGCAGAGGGGGTTGGCCACCCCTTTTAATCCCCAGGATCATTGGGATTCTCGAATCACTGAGGTTCTCTCAGGCATAAATAATAATGCTCTCAAGTGGCATCACTCTGATTTAAAGTGGCAGGAGTTCTGTCAAACTGTGCACATCTTTGCTTGCAGAATCCATTTCCCCTTCTTTGAGGGCTGTCCCTATTTGCTCATTTGTTGTTTTTTTGTTGTTATGTGTCATTGACCCAGCTACACCTTGTAGCTGCCCTTTGAACAATGGATCAGAACCCTGCCCTATCGTGCGCTATCCTTATCATCTCTGCTGAGGGTGATACATTCGTCATTGTTATAGTCACTGTGTCAATCCATCTTGATAAAGGTTTTCCTCTCCTATGCTGACCCCTCTAGTTTTCTCAAGGACCAGCCCCTCCTAAAAATGTACCCAAAATATGAGACAGTTTCTTTGTCCTTGCCTCCAAAGAATACCCCTTGTTGTACTTCCTCAAGACATCTTTATCTGTTCTTTTGGCAATCAATGAGATATTCAGTACTCTTCTCCAACACCACAATTCAAATGTACCGATTCTTCTTCTATCATCCTTGGTCACTGTCCAACTTTAGATGCACAAGGAGTAATTTAAAAGACTGTGGCTTTGACAGTACACAACAAGAAAAAGGGTGGGGGAAAGACTAGAGCTTGAATCAGGTATCAGCTTTGGTCATTAAACTGATATCCTTGCTGTTTAGCATTTGGAGAAGTTCTTGACAGTAGATTATCCCAATGTAACCTGCTTTGGAGTTCTTTACTGCTGGTACCAAGGGTATAGATTGCTCATTTGAGAAAAAAAATAAAAACAATATCCCTTTATTATCATGCAAAACAGAACTAAACCTATTGCTGTCCAATGCATTCTGATTCATAGCAACCACATATGACTGAGCAGAACTCCACCATAGTCTTTGTAAGCAGACTGCTAGGTCATTCTTACCAAGGAGAGTAGCTGATGGGTCTGAACTGCTGAATTTTCATTTCTAGTCAAGAGAATTGATGACCAGGCTTCCTTTACGTTATCACCCTAAGTTCTTATTTTCAAAGTGCTCCATCCACATGTTATCTCCTTTTCTCCCCCTCACAATTTTATAATAAAAGAGCAAGGCTGATATTTTTAGCCTATCCTTTGGGTTCTTGTTATTAGGTTGAGCCATTGAGTTGACTTTGATTCAGAGTGACCCTATGAACAACAAATGAAAATATTTTTCTGCAGTTCTCAGAGTATGTATGGTCTTTGGACCTGCAACACCAACATCTTTAGGATTCTTGTTAGAAATGTAAATCTCAGCTCTATCCCAATTGGTTCTTTGGGGCAACAATGTGTATTTCTAACAAGTTCTCAGATGATGCCGATGTTGACATTAATGTTGGTCCCAGTCTATAATTGGATGAAAAGCAAGTGCAGGGATTTGTCTTAAGATGACTCTAACCTGGGTAGTTTTTCGCTTTGGATTTTGGATCCCTTCTCTCCACCCCACCCCAAATCCCTCAAACTCCAGGTCTACCACTTACAAGCTAACAGAGCCTGAACAATTACTCTAGGTTACAATTTCTTCACCTGCAAAATGGGGATAATAATAAGATCTATGTCTTTGGGATCTTATGCACATTAAACACCTAGGCAAAGTATTCAATTGTGATTAATAAATGTTATTAAGAGTGTGACACTTCACCAGAATAAATACATTTGTAAGCTCTTTTTTTTTGAATGTGTGTGTGTCTATTCCTGTATGATTTACGACATGAAGGTGCCTCAGTATTTAGCATGGCCTCAGGGATGTTGCTCTGATAGCCAAGAACCCAGGACTGCTGTGGGAGATAAGTGTAACATACTAGCACATAAAGATGGTGGATTGAAGGGCAGACAAGTGCAAAGCTTCCTCAGAGAGACTGGAGGGGAGAGGAGGGGGAGCTGGGAAGGTAAAATTGAGGAAGCAATTGAGGAGGACAAGCAGAGGAGGGAGATAGGCTGTCTGAGGGAGACTGGACCTCCTTCTAAACTCTGAGGGCAGCCCCAAGGGGAGGCTCCAGCTACAACAGGCCCAAGGGAACCTCTTAGCGCTAGTGTGGCATGTAGCCAGGGAACCAACACCCAGGTGCTCACTGTGAATGCCCCCTCCGAGTTCAGCAGCCCAGTGGCGGACAGCGTGTGTTTGGGCTCAAAAACCAGCTTTGTCTTCTGGGTAACTCTTAATTTGGCAACTCTCCTGACTTCACCACTCATGCCAAGGGCATGGCTTCCTCTCAGTGGAGGGGTTAGGGGGGCGCATCAGGAAGTGGCCTTATCTTATCTGGCTACTGCAGCTCTCCTCCGCTAGCCCAGGATGGTCCAGAGACCTTTGCAACTGAATTAACCAGAAAGAAACAAAAGCAGCAAGTTCAGGCCCTGCGGGCACGGTGGGCCAGCCAATGGGGCGCGGCCGCTCCCCGGCGGAGTGGTACTATGATGACAGTAGCCAACCAGCGCGCTCCATACAAATGAGGATACTGTATCCCGCACCCTCTGCTCCAGAGCCCGCGGTTGTTATAGTGATAAACTGAGGCCTTGCCTCTGGCTTCCCTGGGAAAGAAAGGGCAGGGGGGTGCGGGGAACACCTCTACTGCCCCAGGGAAGACATAAAAGCAGGAAAGAAGAATGAGGATGGGTAGGGGAGGTAGAAATACATGACAAAGAAAACATTCGGGCCGGCGAGGAGACTCCCAGAGTGTAGAGCCGGAGGGAGCGCTTGCTGGCCATGCCAGTACTCACCACTGCTGCTGAGTCAGAAACAGGTATCCCAAAATCCCTTTCCAATGAGCCTCCCTCAGAAACCATGGAGGAAATAGAGCACACATGCCCACAGCCTCGACTGGTAAGTAAAGACAAAGGATGCAAATGTATGCGTGGCTGGGGCACAAAAGAGTTCCTGAGGCTCCCGCAGCAGCAGCAGTAGCAGCAGCAGCAGCAGCCAACGAGGAAAAATGATGCTGGGGAGGTTTTCATGTAAATGAGAATGGAGCTCGCTACCGCCTAATCCTTCTCAGCTGTTTAGACTTCTCTACCCCAGCGCTGTACTCGGCTTACAAAGCATAAATGTCTTGGCTGGGGTTGGAAGCGGACTGCTGGGGTTTGGCTGGGGCTTATTGTGCCTTGGGAGGAAGGGCTGGCCCTTTTTATAATCGTCCCCCTTGCAGGTGGATTTTCACCTGGAGAGGGGAGGGGGGGGTAATCCTAGTATGATTTCAAAAACGGATTTTCTTGGCAAAGCTTGGAGCAGAGTCCCTTAAGTTGCGAATGTTGGTTAAGGAAGGACACGGTCCTCAGTTGATTGGTGTGCCAATTTTGGACAAAAGCGGACAGCATGGGAAGCAAAAACTTCCTCCATTCATTTGAAAATCACGAAATGAATAAACGAGAGGCTCTGAGTGATGCCTCCAGAAATGCTGTGGGTTGTCAATGAATTGTAAAAATCTCTAGGGGTGGGGGTGCTTTTGCTTGTGAGGGTTGGTCTTCAGGGAGTAGGGTGCTGGAGGAGCTACATTCATTTCGGAAGAGGCTGTCTGCTTTCAGTAATGCCAGTTTGGAAACGGTGGGGTATTGGGAAACTCAGTCTCGAGGAATGGAAGCTCTTTGTACTATGTCAATAACTGGTCCCCCAAATCTGAAGCATTCCACTGCCTTAAAGTAGATGTGGGAAGTTCATCCCCAACCACCTCAATGTGTGTCCGGGAGGAATCCAAACCACCATATAGGGTGGTCGGTTTCTGAGAAGTGTAGTCCTGAGGAATGTGTACTGACCTCTCTTTGAGCCCCCAAACCTAGGAGACATACTAGTTTGAACTGTCATTTCCTTTTGCTATTTTGCTGAACTTGAAACAAGTTATAAGGTGGGATGTTTTGATTGGTTGTGGAGGCTGACCCTGGGAAGAGGTTATTTTGTTTTCAGGAGTATGCGATGTGGCATTTTTTTCTGTGACAACACCAGAAGGAGGGCCCCTAGCTTTGAAAGCCTGTCCATTATGGGAATAACATGAAGAGGGTTAATAAGGTTCAAAGGCAGGGTTAGAAAAATGTAATAAAAACAAGACAAAGTTATATGGGCTTTTGGTTAGGTGGGGTTTTTTTTTTCTTTTTAATTATTATTATTTTTTTGGATACTTTAACAACAGATCCCAGAACTTAAGTCACTTACTAAAGGACAGAACACAGTGTACTAACTTAACCTATATTCTCATGGGAGAGAAAACATGGCAATTAGGTTGTTACTAAGGGATTCCTTTTGAGTCATTAAACAACTCGTGATTTCAGTCCTAAACAAACAAACAAAAAGACTAAAATTCTTTTATAAGAGCAACTCTATTTTGAGTGATGGGAAACTTTTGGAAGTGAATAGGGGTGATGGTTGCACAGCGTGGTGAAGATAATTCGTGTTACTGAATTATGCATGCAAAAATGGAAAATGATTTTGTTATGTATGTTCCCCGACAACAACATTTTAAAAAGTTGCTTACAAGAACACCCAGGTATTTTTAAATGTAAACTCACTGTTGAAATTTGCATGACATGTCTTTCTGATGGAGGTAAAGGGCAGGAGAGAGACTACCTTCAGCTCCTGTGTCTCCTGTCCTCTTCTTTTCCTTCTTTGTCCATCTTCTAGCAAACAAAGGAAGGAAGGAAGTTCCAAGTTACTACTTTGCACTTTAACTTGTGATAGCTCATTCTCCAGGTAACTCCCAAGAACCACACAAAGCTAGAGAGGGTAAATGACTTCTTCAAGGTCACATTGCTACCAAGGGGTAGGGGTGGATTTGAACTCTGAACTCTAGACTGGTAAAGTAGAAAAAATTGCCACTGTCTCTTTTTCTTTTTTTTTTTTTTTGGTCCTTCCATCGCTTTTTTTTTACTTTAAGGAAGTTTACAGAGACTTAGGGTTTACATCCATTTGTTGCTGCAATTTGCTCCCTGTCCACCCTTCCCCACTAATTCACTCTTCTCCTTGAAAAGAAAAACTCTTTTATTGGTATGCAATCCCTCCCCTCAAGTCCACTCCACTATGCAGCCTTCATTCTGGACTCCTGTCATGACAATAATACCTAATCATATATCCTTTTTAAACAGGTCTCTCCCTCATCTATTTCATTGCAGTATACATCATTCCTCCCCTCCTTATGTCTTCTCTCAACCCTGATGTCAGTCCCATTTTACAGCAGTGCCCTATGCAGTATTTGTCCTTTTGTGACTGAGAAATTTCACTCCAGATATGTCCTCCAGGGTCACCCATTTTGCATAATGTTTCATGAATTCCTTGTTTTTAAATGTTGCATAGTATTCCATTGTGTGAATATACCTGAGCTTCTCTATCCATTTGTCTATTGATGTGCATTTGGGTTGTTTCCAGCTCTTTGCTATTGCGAACAAAGCCGAAATAAACATGGGTATGCATAACTTTTAAAAAATGTTTTAAATTGTTTTCATTGTTACACTTGCCACTGACTCTTAAGTGAAATGAATACCCTTTCTAACTTTTTAATAGTTTTGAATTAAAGTGTCTGTGGGCTCGTAAGCTTGATAGGGATGTACTGAAGTTGGATTGTTGAAATAATTAATTTTACCTACCATTAATAGGACAGCCCCCTGTTCGAGAGGAAGTTGGTTCTGTTTGAAGAGAGGCAACCATCAATTTATAAAGCGCTATTAAATATTGAAGTTCCCTTTGTCACGTCATTAACTTTATTTGACCACTGTAAAGGTTATTCAGTGACAGATTAGTAAGTAAGCACAAGTAAGCCTGCACTTATCTTGCTTATTGGGCAATCTGTCCTTAGCTATAGTCCAAATTTAGACTTTAATATTTAAGTCTAACTTGGCTTTGTTAAGGATTTGTACATAGGGTCACTATAAGACTTGGCACACAACAATGACAATAATTTCATAACCAAATTTGTTGGTAAAGAATCACTGGTATATGAAAAATGCACACTTAGTGTTTTTCAGCTCTGATGGCTTACTAGTAAGGAGTTGCACTGTTAATTCAAAGGCCCATGGTTTGAATCCACCAACTGTTCTATGGGAGAAAGATGAGCAATCGCCTATTTGATTTACTGCCTCTGAACAAGAAATACAAAAGGAAGCTGTGGTGGCCTAGTAGTAAGGAGTTAAGCTGTCAAGTGAAAGGAATGAAGTTTGAATCCACCAGCTGTTCAACAGGAGAAAGATGAGCTCTTTCCTTCATTGTGATTTACAGCCTCTGAAAAGCCATTAGAGGGTCAGCTGTGTGTTGGTTCCTACTCAATGGCACATGCCACCACCATCACTTAGGGGTTTGAGCAGGTTTGGGGTAGTTGTGTTTTGTGGGGTTTTTTGGTGTGTTTTTTTTTATCTTGTAACTTTAAGACATTCATCAAGACTTTCATATTTCAGATTCTCTAAATTTGATATCTCTCCCAGCACCCTGGTAGTATAATGCATACTGTGATGCTAACCAAAAGGTTGGCAGTTTAAATCCACCAGCTGCTCCTTGGGAGCAAGCTGGACATACTCCTTGAGTAAAGGTTTCCTGCCTCAGAAACCTGATGGAAGGTCACTATGAGTTGAACTCAGCTGCAGGACAGTGGATTTTAGTTTCCCAGCACCCAGGCATATTATCCCAAATCACAGGAGGGTGAAGGAGGCCCAGCTACAGTCAGCAGGGTGTGGCTGCTGAGTCCTTTAGCTAGCTATGGAAAGTATGTGAGGGGTTTAGGATCTGCTTAGAGAAGACAATTCACACTTTTCATCAAGGCTAAACTCTATCCAGTTGTTACCAAACTTGAATTCTGAGACTGTAGAGACAACGTTGGTGATGATATGTACCATCAACTCAGAACGGACCCTACCAGATTTTCAGAGTCCGTTAATTGCATGGGAAGAAATAGGCCATCTTTCTCCTGGGGAGTAGTTGGTGAATTTGAACCATGTACCGTCAAGTCGGAACCAGCCCATAGTTGACCCTCCGGCATTTTTCAGAGGCAGCTAATTGCACGGGAGGAGATTACCCATCCTTCTCTCATGGAGAGGCTGGTGGCCTCGAACCATGTGCCTTTGAGATTGCAGTGCAGCTTCTTGCCAGTAGGCCACCAGAGAATGAATGCGTGACCAAACATCATCTTATAAAAGTAGCAATTTCCAAAGTGTTTCTAATTGTATTTACTGAGGTACACATTGGATTCTGAAATGTACTCTAATTTGACCTAGGGATATGGAAAAGGAAATTCTTGAATATTTAAAGAGCTGTAAGGCTTTGTTTCAAAGCTTTGAATGTGAGCTGATGTCTGTGAGGGGCTCTGTCTAGTTTTTGTTTAAATCTCAGCAATTAGGTCAAAGGCCCCTTCTGTTATAAAGTACTCTGAATAAGCATGACACATGAGGAAGGGATGGACAGTGTCTTTGAGCCTATATTTACATGTGTCTCTCTAGATATGGTTTACAATGAAAGTTATCCGTTATGACACAACTGGGCTTGGTCCATATTATTTGATAACCTGTTATGTGCTGTGGTCTGGGAGCTTAACTGCTTTTTTTCGTCCAGAAAAAGAGATTAACACACAAATGATAGTTGCAGTACTGTTTGAAAAGGGCACAGCGTGTTGAGAGGTGTGTTATCAGAGAGGGTGACAATTGTGACATAAATGAAAGGGTGATAAAACTTCCTGAAGTCCAAATTTGCTAGATGGGTGTTAAGTAGAAATCTCCTAGCACTAATACTGAGCCTAGCATGTTGGATGTTGTAGTATCCTGAAATTGAGTTAATGAACTTATTTAACATTTGGAGGAAATGGAGGGAGATGTTATACCCAGGACTTCAAAACAATTTCTGTTTTAGAGCCTTAAAAC